AGAGCCTGAACTAGAACCCATGTTACCAAGCTCTGAGGAGGGGGCTCATTCTCCATTTTACTATACTTACCTGTCTCTACTGTTTTCAGAAAACAATGTTTCTTTAAATACAATTCACGCCTCTCCAAAGACTTTTTTTTTGTGGGTTGGTACTGTTGCTGTTGTCTCTGTCAATCTAATGGGAGAGGAAATTATAGGAAATAATCCTTCCTCATCAAAACTGGGACAGGATTGGATTATGGTGGAGGAAATGGAACTCTATAAGTAAATTAGAAAGACAATCAGACTTCAAAACACCTTCCACGTAGCTCAAAAAGGTCCCTCAAGAGTGTTTGCCAGCATCCTCAAGTAAGGATGTTAACACCACAATTTTAATAACGCCCTGTCTCCTTTCAGTATTATTGTATTGCAATTAAGGAAGGGACCTACTTTCCACTCGGGAGGAACTGCTGTCAGGATGAAGTCATCTAGGCTCTGGCAGCTGCCTGCCCTGCACCTTAACATATAGCTGACTGATGCTAAAAATCCCCTCTGTGAGTGATGCTTGCAAAGTGCCATACTTCAAAGTCAAGGAACTATCTTCAGTATACCTCTTTTTTCCTCCTGAAATCTGCATCTCTGCAACTTATACTTTATAGTAAGTTTTTCTTCGGTGGAAGGAATAGTAAAGATCACCTCGCCTAATGTCATTTTACGAATGAGAAACTGATGACCAGAATGATCTGCCCTTCTGCACGTCGGTCCTAGTTCTGAACTGTCACCTAGTCAACCAAGTCGATTTCCTCTTCCACGTGGCTTTACTTCTAATACTTGAAGATGGTTATCAGCGCTTAAATCTTTTCTTCTCTGGATTAAACATCTCCAGTTACCCGTAAGGTTTGGTTTCTGGTCCCCTTGCCGTCCTGCTCACCCTCCTCAGGACACATTCCGGCTAGTCAGTGCCCCCCCTAAAATGTGGCACCCAGGCCTGGATACAGAGAGGGCAGACCTCCACATGGGGTCTATCCAATGAAGAAGAGTGAGACTCTCCTTTCCCTGGTTCTGGATACCACACTTGTATAAATGCGGCCCACGATCCCATTAGCATTTTTGGCTGCCACATCACACTGCTGACTCATATTCAGCCTGAAGTCCACTCAAACCCCCAAGTGTGATTAAGCATTCCTGCTCATCCCTACAGATTCAGCTGAAAAGTAGAGTTAAGATCAAAATACATAGATAGGTCCTTTCCTTATTTTTACTCTGTTCTGCTGCATCTTCTATACTTGACACCCTGAGGGAAGTCAGCAAAGAACATACCCCTGATATTCAATAAAGCTAGCCAATCCAGTTTTGTTCACCTTCATGATTAACACTGATCATGACTGACCTTCCCATTGGGATCTATTGTAATTGTGAATATCAAAGAAATCATACAATCGACTTTGCTAAGGAATGATTTATCAATACTTCGAGGACTGTGGCTAATACACTGAAGTGTGTTCTGGAGCTAGGTCATACTGGCTTTTAACAGCTGATTGTTAAATATTCAGTATGAGCATTTATATCTTAGAAATTGGCAAACATTACAAATCAGGGCTTGACATTTTGTTTGTTGATTGTCTAGACTTAAGAAAGGAATGGAGAAAAAAATGATGTAGATTAAACTTAAAAGTGTGTTGTGCATACACTTTTTCCCTCTTGAAGAGCTTGTTGTTAAACATTACTAGCACACCTCTAGCTACACATATGGACTGGTTTTAAAATAACAACAAAAAAACCTATGGGTTTGACCTGATTTACCTCACCCCGACCTACTTTTCACACGTAGACACACCATGGTGCTCACATGACATAAGGTGAAGTAGAGATTTGGCAAATAGGCTTCCTAGGAAAAAAAGTTTTTGGGCCAACTTATCCAGTTAGGTCACTACATCAAGGAGATGAATGCATCAGTTACTGCATCTCCCTTAAGCCCGGACACTTTGCCTTGGACTAATGCTTCCCATGGTGCTGTGGAATAACTTTTGAGATCTACATTTTCCTCCCTATTGCTTCCTTTGAAATAACAGAGAGGAACAAAACCTCCTGACAGGACCCAGAAGAATAAATAATATTAACATTGAATATTAAAACTGGAAATGACTTAAAATCTAGAATTCTCAAATGTTGGAGCTCTCAGCGCCTCATCCAGTACTCCTCTTTTTTTTTTTTTTGTTTTAAAGAAACTGAGATCCAGAAAGAGGGGAAGTGACTTTCCCAAGGTTACCCAGGTAGTCAAGCAAAAGGGTTTGAAAATGAAAGAAGCAGGAGCCAGAGTTAAAAATTAAATGAAACTTCCAGTCTGATCAGTTTTCATCAGAAGAGCCCAAGTATCCAGGTTTATTTTCCCTCGGCAGCCACTTCAGTGGAATAGTCCATGAAAAGAGTGCAGTAGAATCCTCCCCCTCTTGCTTCCTTAAAATGAGGAGCTGTTTCAAGTGATTAATGTATCTGTGGATACAACTAACCAATTCATACCTCTCCTGCTGGGCCCAATAATTCAACAAGCGTTGACTGGTAGTAGCAGTAGCTTTGGCCGATGTTTTGGGGTCCAGGCAAATGTCCCCAAAATTCTTGTTATTTCTGTCTCTGGATTCCCAGAGGCCCAGGATGGAAAGGGGGTTAGGGGTGGGGTGAAAGTATTATTTGGAATCTAAGAATTCTGATGAAATGTCAGAGATTAACTGGTACTCTCCCTTTACCCTGGGAGATTCCAGCTTCCATTCCTCTATAGTGCAGACCTCAGACATAATGAATGTGGTGCTGTGATGTGAAAGGGTACAGGGAGGGCCTTTTTTCCCCCTTTCTCCTTTCCTTTTCTTTCCTTTTTCTCTCTTACTCATTTTAAAGTAAAATGAATGTAGTGCTGATGAAGGGGGCCCAAATAACAGCTCAGAAGACAGAAATCCCATTGCAGGACTAGAAGCATCAATTACAGTTTTTCTCCCGTGCTTCTGATTTAAGGTCCAGCGTGCAGGCAAGGAAGTGGAGAAAGTCTTGGTTGAGGGGAGCTGTTGCAGATTCCTCTCCAAGTCCCCTGCCCCACTGGCTCACACCTAGTTTGGTTTATGCTCTAAGAGAGGGAGTTCAAGGTCTCATCCCACCTGAGCCGTGGCTAGAGTGGAATTTCTCTTAGGTTTCAGTATCTGTGTCTACATAGCCTAAATTAAAAGGCAGGCAAATATTCAGTCTTTTTGAATGTTCAGACAATTTTTTTTTTGCTGCATAGTCGATTTTTCTATTCTTGTTGCGAGTCTATTTTTCTACTTAACTTTCTGAGTCACTTTACTCAATCCTCTAATGGTCCATGGAGACCTATCAGTTGTGTTGCAGTTGATGGGAGAAATTCCCCAGAGGAAAGGTGATCAGTCTTAGGAATGAGCCAGTTTCCTGTGATGTCCTCCTGTTTTGAGCAGTTTTTAAGTCCCCTGTGCTCTTATTGGTAGTGACTATTATTTCTGCCTTTTGAACCCCCAAGAAACAAAGTCCTATAGAGATTGATTGTCAACCATCCATCAAACCAGCTGCTGCTCTCATTTGAAGCCAAGATACTAAAGTGCAAAGGAAAACATGGAACCCCAGCATCCAGGTCCTTATAGCCAGGCTGGAGCCCCTGCTACTTGAGGGCTAGAGGGCTGCAAAGACTGGCGCCCTGCGTTCTCTGACAGACCTGTTTCAGGTCTGGCAGTGCCAGGGGTCAGATGGCTTCCGTCCTTCGAGCCCTCACTTCCCACCATATAACATCCCTGTGAGGGTGACCCGTCTTTGGGCAGCAGTGCCCCCGAACTCTTTCCCTCTTTAGAGAGAAATTCAAGTCTGACTTTCTGAGACGTTAAAGCTAAACAAAACATCAAACTAAATGGAACCGAACAGAAGACCCCTACCCCAAACCCAAACTGACTTATAAAAATATAATTGGGTTGTTTCCCCCAATTTCCATATTATTACTGATCTATGAAATGTCAGAAAATAATGACTGGCCTTTCTCTGCCAGGCCAGGGGCAATTTCCCCACTGCCCTTTCCTCTTTAAAGCTAATCTTCATAGAATGCCTATGTCATAAGCCTATTTCTTTCCAGAGACCTCATGCATACACCTTCTTGCAATTCCAAAGATACTTGAAGAAAACATAGACATTTACAAAAATGGCATCCTTTTACATTCATTCTAGCCGCATTTTTTGGAAAATATATATTTTTTTAAATCATAAAAAATTGCATATTGGTCACATTTCTAAGGAGAAAGTTGTGACCACCATTTTTGTGTTTGTTTTCCTGGGGAGGAGATGGGGGAAGAGGCGAATGGTGTGTTGGGTTATGTGAGTATGAAGCTCAGAGACACGGGCCTGCTGCAATCTTTAGCTATAGGACACAAGGAACAAGTGACCTTGATCCCCAAGTTTTCCCATGACCCTGGACCTCTCCATCCATTTTCTTCTTTTCATGCTAACACTTCCTGTTCCCCACCCCAAGCAATCTTTCAAAGCAGAGATAAATGACTTTGGGACACGACGGTTAGTCTACCCAAGTCCATTTGGAAATAAGAATGACCTTGGGATGGGTATGAGGAGAGGGAAAGGACATATGACTATCAGCTTAAGGTCATTTGCAGCTGTTCCCACACTTGGAAAATTGTCAGTCACTCTAGTGACTTTAAAATCTAAGCAGATAATAGGCTAAAAATTGAAAAGATCTTTTTGCATAATAATTAAGCATGAATATATAGCTTATATATAACACTGCTTTCCTGGGGCAAATTTGCCCCCTCCCCAACTGGAAAACTACCAACTGCCCGCAGCCCCTGGACTCTAGTTTGTAAAACTTCTCTTCCATCCGCACTCATTCTTGCCAGTCCCTATGTAGGAAAGATCTCCCCCCACCCTTCCCACCCCCCACCCCCACCCCCCCACCGTCCCTCCCCGTGTTTAAATAGATATTGCCACATTCGGAAATTCATGCATTTCTGCATTGCTATTGCACATGTCCTGGGAGAGCCCTTCCTCTCCCTCTGCTTCCTTTGTGTCTCTTCTCCTTGTGCCATGCCCTCCCTGCCCCTACCCGAGCTGCCACAGCCCTTCCGTTCACTGATTGTGGACATCCTCCCTGCGGACAATCTTGTAGATGATCCAGTAGAAAATGTTGAAGATGAGGAAGGCCATGGGGAAGCCAATCCGGGACATCTTGTCAATCTTCTTGGCCCTTTGGATAAAAAGCTTGCGCATCTCCTCTGGGGACTTGGAGGGTGGGGGTGGAGGGTTGCCTGTGTTGTTATGGTGGGCTCCCTTGACGGAGATGCCATCCTTGGCCTGTAGACAGGCTGGGCCCATCCCGTAAGCAGAGAAATTGAACCTCCCCTCCCCAGCTTCATCCTCCTGAAACAGATTCAGCATAGGGCTCTACTTAAAATAAGACAGTGGCAACTCACCCTCCCTGTAAGGCTTTCCCCCAGGGCCTGGTTCTGCCCCTTTTTCTCCCTTTTCCCACTCCCCTGATACTGGGCCATCCCAAAGCTTAGGAGGAGGTCAGCCTTACAGAGGGGCTCGGATGATATTTGGCACAGATGCAAATCAGGGGATAGCATGGTCCGTGGAAGATAATTCAATTTATTTTCCTATGATTTGAACAATTTGGTCATATCCCCTGTTTTGCCTCTGGCTCCCACTTCCCTCCCCTCTCCCCTCCACCCCCCATAGCCTACCCTTCAGTTACCACATCACTTTCCCTGCCCCTCCCCAATCCTCCTTTGGCACCAGCCGAGTAGCATAGACTTTTGTTGCACCATCTCCCTTGTGACCACAATTTTTCAAGGGACCAGCATCACCCCAGATCATGGCCCATGACTTCATACTATCCACTCTGCCTGTATGCAGACATCATTCCTGATCTATTTCTCTCTCTGAGAGTAGGATGACCTCATTGGAAAAAAATGAGTCCCAAACAATGCTTGGGTCCTTCAGACGAATTAGATTTAAGAACTGTCACATTTTGGTCCTAACCTATCTCTTTGAGTTTATCTCTTGATGATAACCTATGTGAATCTTTTGCTTCCGATAGGCTGGTTCTTCCAAACATCTTGTGTGTTACTCTAAGTGGAATGTCTTCCCCTCTTCTCTCTTCCTGTGAAAATCTTACCTATCTCTCTTGGTCTGATTCTAGGGTAACCCTCTTCAAGGAGATGTTCCTGATGAACTTGACTCTCATGATGATATCTCCTTCTTCTGATCTCTAATTACAATTATAGTCAGGCCCACATATTGTTCCCTTTAGGATCATAGACTCCATTTGTGTGTTCTGTTATTATTGTGTGTTATATAACAGTAGCAATAATTTATATATGGTATGAAAAGTGTTTTATCCACACATCATCATCATCCAATTTGATCACTGCAACAACATTGTGAAGGGGGTAGGGCAATGTTATTATCTCCAGTGAGGAAACTGAGGCCCAGGGAAATGAGTTACCCAAGGCTCCATTTGATATTAAAAGTGACTCTCTGAAGGAATCAGGCCAGTGTTCATTTGACAAAGAAAACTGAGGCCAGACAGGAGTGACTCATATGAAACGACACTGGATCACCAGCAGATTGATCTTTTAAATCTAAGCAGTTAGCCTAAAACTTAAGAATTTTTTTTTGTGTAATGATCAGAACTCAAATCTTCTAACTGTTCACAAATGATCTTTCTACAGTATCATGATATATGTTGTATAATCTCAGATTATATATGTATATGTGCATACATGTATATATATAACATACATGTAAATATACACATAATATAATATCTGTCTATCTATCTATCTATCTATCTTTCTATCTATCTATCTATCTATCTATCTATCTATCTATCTATCTGTCTGTCTGTCTATCTATCTATTGAATCTATGGGATCCTGTCCTACCCAATTCTTGCTAAATATTAGAGAATATAGATTTGTTTGATGTCACAAAGCACTTCCACACAACACTCATTCAGCCATGCTGATGGTAACATGACATTTTGTGTGTGTGTGTGTGTGTGTGTGTGTGTGTGTGTGTGTGTGTGTGTTGAGGGACTGTGTAGAGCCTGAAGAGAGTGGTTTGAATATGTTGTCCATGTTCCCTTGCATTGTTACAAGGGGGTCTCACACTTTCTGTGTACTTTGGAGGCAGGGTAATAGTAGGCATGTATTGGCAATGTTCAGTAGTTGTTTATGTGGTTAGGCCCAAGGACTACAAGAATGATGTCAAATTTTCATTAGAAACACTTTTATGTGACCAAGGGCAAGGGATGTCTTATTGTACTAGTCACTGAAATATCTTTCTCTGGCTCAGCATATGACCAGGGTCATAACTAGGGTGAAATGATCAGAGCTTTGTCCCAGGGTGCTAAATTTAGAGGGTACTGACAACATTTGCACTTCAGCAGCATAGAAAAATATGGGGTTTAGCACTGAGTTAGCAATAATAATTAAAACAGGAAGCTACCAGATGGTGAGTTTCTTCCCCTCTGGCTCTGTGAGGGCATTCCCAGCAGCAACTTTTGTTTGAGACATTGTCTGTCCCCTCCTACCTCCACTGCCGGTACTAGTGTTTGTGGTATTTGCACTAGTATAAGAATTCCTAGTTTGGGTTCTTTGTATGACAAGAAGGACTAAGTTTCCTGAGCTGTCTTATTGTGGGAGGGGGATGCTGGCTGTGGGAAGGACTTGTTTGTATTGGGCAGATTATCATTCTAAATATGACATCGAGGAGTTTTTAATTGAAGAATTTCAGAGGCGATATGATCCAACCCGTATCTAATCAAGAATTCTCTTACAATATAGCCAGCAAAGAGTTAACCAGACTCTTCTTAGAGATGTCAAATGTATGGGATGATCAGGACAAGGCTTACTATCCCCATTTGACAGATGAGATGAGAGAAACCAGAGAAAGGAAGTGACTGAGTGAAGGATAGCCCACTACTTCCTGAAGAGGTCTACTTGACTGTTTGGAAATTTTTCCTTATATTGAGTCTAAATCTGTAACTTCTAACCACTTTTCGATAGTTCTGCCCTCGGGGACCAGGAAGACAAGTCTAATCCCTTTTCTGCACGATAACCCTTCAGATACTTGAAGACCGGAATGATACTTCTGTAAGCCTTCTCTTCTCCAGTCAATTCCTTTAACTGATCTTCATATGGCATGGACATAAAGTACTTCACCATCCTGCAATATTCTGAATATCCTACTTCTTTTAAGGCAGCCTAAGAACCTAACAACTTTTTTGACCACCAAGTCCCAATGTTGTATTGTATTGGGATGGCAGTCCATTAAAAGTCCTAGATATTTTTCACACAAACTGTTGTCTTTATCATCTTGTAATTGAGAAATTGAATTTTTTTAATCTAACCACAAGATTTTATATTTATTGCTATTACATTTCATCTTGGTGGAGCCAGCCCTTCTAATTCTGGCTTTTTTTAATGTCATCTTCCAACTTGTTAATTTCTCCTTTAAATACTAGTATTTACATTTTATACTAGCTTACATTTTATTCTAAAAACTTTGAGCCGATTTAAGCTTTTGATCTAGGCAAGTGACGTGGTTAGAACTGTGCCTTACTTAGGAAGGTTGTTTTGTCTGTTGTGTGAAGGAACTATTGGAAGGGAAGAGGGACTGAAGATAGAGAGACTAATTAGGAGGCCCAGGAAATTATGTTTCTTATTGCCTTTGGGGAAACAATGAAGACAACTCTGCCAATTTCTTTATTTGACTCTGAGGAGAATCTTCAAGTCTTCTTTGCATTGCCTTATGCTTCAGTGAGGATATTATTATGGATACAGTTCCCTATAGATGTGCATGAGGGGTGATGAAGGCTTCATCTAGAGTTTTGACAGTGTGAACAAGGAGAAGAGGAAGGAGAGATAATGTGGAGGTAAAATGAATAAGACTAGGTCATTGACTGAGCAATGAGTGGTGAAGGATAGGGTCAAAGAAGACCTAACTGTGGTTTGGAACTTGGAGTGACTGGATAGATGGTATTGCAAGAGACACAGAGAAGTTTGAAAGAGGAATGGATTTAGAGGAGAAGAAGATGAATTTACTTTTGGACATAGTGAATTTGAGATATCAATGGGACCAGGATGGGTAAATATCAATTTGTAGTCATCTGGATAAAAATTATAATGAAACTCATGGGAGTAGTTGAAATTGCCAAGAGAGACAGTGAAGAGAGAAGAAATCTAGGATAAAGCCTTGGAGGACACCCATACTCAGTGGTGGGAAGTAGATGGATAGAGATAACATTTATTAAGCAATTAATATGTTCCAAGCACTGTGATTCAGTAGGCAGTGAGTTGATATAATACTAGGGGCACTGACCTTCATTCGTCATAATGTTCTTACTATGAATGAAACGTGAAGAAATGGAGAAGGCACAAGTCAGTGCCAGGATGACTTACAGGTTCTCCTAAGAAAGGCAAATAAATACATTGGCAGAATTGTCCAAAGTGAAAAGAAGCATAATTTCATGGGACATTTAATCATCATTGAAATACTCATGATGAGTATAAGCAAAAAACCCCATCACGAATATAATTGCAGCTTTTACACTGACATTTGTTTTAGAGGATGGAGAAATTGCTATGAAGAACTTGACAAGATTCTTTAAATTTAAGCCAACACATAAATTGCTAGTTGATGACTTCAGTGTGAAAGTGGACCCAGAGGAAAAGGGCAAAAATTGCTTTGTAAAATGTGGTTGAGGATAAAGAAAGGAAGGAGTTAAAGGCCATTCATGTATATAATAAACACTTTTGTCTAGAAGGGGGTTGGAAGGTTCTAGATATGGTAAGCACTGAGGAGCTTCATAATAAATACTTACTGACAGGAAGTCACTCTTTATTGATATTGAAATCACCTGTCTTGGTGTAGACAGGTTTTTGACTGGTTAGAGCAAAGGTCAAAATAAATGCCAAATTAGAAGAAAGGATGAAGATAAGAGGACACTGACTCTAGACGTATTTAAGCAAGGTTTTTTTTTTTTTAAACAATAAAGAGGTCTAGTGTATTCCTGGGACACATATCTAGGATGTGATGGTGAATCTCCTACGACTGGCTAAATCTGATGACCCTGATGATTAGGGTTTAAATACCCTGAAGTACTTAAGGTTTCTATTTAAGATCCTAAATTATCTTAATCATTGTTTCCAATGAAAGTCAAGGTCTTCAATGAAAAGTGTGATGTACAGGCTAAAGTGCTGTACTTGGAGTCCAAGAAGCCTGGATTTCGATTCATCCTCAGAAACTAGCTGTGGGGCCTTGAACAGGTTATTTAACCTCTCTCAAGCTCAGCTTCCTCACCCATGTAAAACAAGGGGGTTGAATATGATGATCTCTATGGTTTTAGCTCTAAATCTATGACTCTATGGTGAGTAT